TTATTCAATCTTAAAAAAGGAGTTAAAAATCAAAAAAAAATTTGGTTTTCTTTAAGAAAAAATGAAGATCTGGAAAATTGCGTTTTGTTACGTTTTACATGGTCTTTAGTGAAATGTGTATAAAATAAAATTATATTGATACATTTTGTTACAGAGTTTCTTTTGGTTTGTCTATCACCCATTTAAAATATTTCGTTKTTTTCAAATATCATATTTTTATAAAATAAATCCGTGAAATACAAAGATGAGTTACATAAATGAACAAAATAATACGTAGTAACATAATATGTAGATAATTTATACTTAATACAATTTGCAAGAAATGTTTATTAATATTTATGCAGTCCAGTGATATTTGATTTATTTTGTTTTCATACAACTTAGAGTGATCCGCAGAAAATTCAATAATCTACCGGTAAGATTCTAGTTTGATTTTTAAGTAGATAGTTATAATTCTGTAAAGGATATATTTTAGAGTTAATCTTTTAAAATAACACTGCAGTAACGAGTGAGTTTAGCGTTTTATCGTATCTGCCGAATGCTTTGATCTCGATGGAAACGTCGTTAAACAACGCAGGTATTTGAGGGCATTAAAAAGGGTAAATTTAATTATTAATTTTTCAATCGTTTCATAAATTATAAGAAATGCCATTGCTGCCAACAATTAACCGCAACAGAGATTCATCTCAGTCGACCATCAGTGGCTCTATGGAATGCGGATTGGAGCCTTAACACGAACCATGAAAAAGTGAATGTAAAAGCATTTAAAATAATAAAATATTGCGTCAGAGTATGATGTTATTCCTTATCAGATTCCACGGTCGCTGTAACAGTTCATAATGTTAAAAAATTGTCTTCTTTCAATATCGAATTTCAAAGAAATCATAATATGTAATTATAATTTTTTTATTTATTAAGATTAAAATGTCTCAGTATATAAAAGTAGTAAATATTTGATTTATAATTGACAATGTATGTTAGAGGCACTCACCCTATTTTTTCTTAACCATTATCATCTGTATTTTAAGTATGGTTAAGTGATACGTAGATTTATATTTTATAATAATTAATGTTTTTTTTTTTTTTTTAAATATTTATAGCCTATATAAATTATAGGTTTACTTGAAAACTGTGTTGTCTTATTTTCATTCAAACAGTAACTTCTCGTTTCTAGTAAATTAAATTTGGACATATACGATTCTAAATCATTCTAATACCTAGAGCTATTTTTTCATCAACAATAATTGATTATCTATTGAAAAAATGGTCCTTTCGACTAAACTATATATTATATGGTGTAATATATCTTGAAAATTAAACAATATTATTTTAGACATATTAAAGAGTAATAACATCTAATAAAACCCATATACGACTAATAAAACATTTTTAATAAGAATGTATTTATTGTCGTTATAAAAATGAAGTGAACACGTGTTTAATAAATCACCATATTATGTATTATTATATGAACTGTTTTTGAATTATTATATTATTATAATTATATAATTATATATCAATGATTTACGGACAGATTGGATAAAARAAGCTATTTAATTTGGATAAATATTGTATTTTCATCCAATGACGCGTYGATTGCATAGTGAAAAGTTATTTATCTTAATAAATTATTATAATCATGCCATCTACACCCACACGTTTAATTGGCATCAAAACCCAATCGGTTTAGTGATTTAGTTATAATATATAAGTATATAAGTAGCCACTAGGCAGTACAGGTATAAAATTAATGCGTGGACAAATTAGAAATAAAAATTATTGTTGCTCACAAATATTTATTGATTTTTGAAACTTTTTTTCCATAGCACGAATTTTTTTGTGTCAAAAATAAGTTCAATTATGTTTATAATTACTGTTTTATTAGTTGATATATCGATAAATTTTTTCAATAACAATGTATAATAATATTATGTTTACATTTCATGAAATATTGGATTGTTATTGATTTTAGTATAAAACAAGAACTTGACGAGAAGAATGCCAACTTGATAAAACCGATATTAATCTTGTTAAGATATCTATATTTAAAAAAATATAGCAATCCTTCTCACCATCAGATAAGTTTAAAGTATCATTTTGCAAAATAATATAGGAGTTCAAAACAGTTCCCTTCGCTCTTGTATCATCAGATTATTGGCTTACTAAAATATACCTATTAACATTTAGTCCCGATTATATTATTTATGTATGTAACTACCACTCAATTATTATATTTTGTACGTCCATATGGTTTTTGTATAAACTCACGAATTTACTACTCACCATAATAAATTGGTCTATTATAAAACCTGAATACACAAGTATGATACAATAATATTATGACTAGTTTAAAAGTTGGTAATAAAGTGTATATTTAATATTATTAAATGTTTGTAGATTTAACTATATTATAATTTTRTCATGGATCCGGATCGTATTTAAATTGTTCTCTGAAAATGTCTAGGCGAACTAAGATATTGTTGTTAATTAATGGCTTTTCAATTCTAGTCGGTGATTTTATTTTTTGCCATTAATAAAAGCATTATATGTTACTCTTTTTTAGGAATAAAAGYTTAATTTTCTCAAAATGTAAAAGTAGGTACTCGATGCTTTTTTCGATTCGAGTAAAATAATAATCCGATTGAAGTCGAAAGTTGTTRCACACGATTAATTAGTGTGTTTGTCTTTGAAATTAGGCCACTGTGTGCAATGCATATGTAAGGCTCATGGTGGTCTGGTGAGATTCATCCGAGTAAAAAGTCAAGGGTGGAGAAAGATGCAGTAACTATAATATGTTATTGATATTATATACCTACACGATAACAATGATTGAATTCTTTCTCCCTGGGAAGGAGATGCCAATTCCACACGATGTATGGCTGTAAAATTAGTTTCGCAACTATACGACCTAGACGGAAACTATTATTCGTATCACCTAATAAATCCACCGACTACTAACGTACGTTATTCTTTTAATTAAACACACACAAACATACGGTAATGAATGTTTTTTGCCATGAAACCACTTTCATATTCTTCTGATTGAGTGCATGTACTACATATATCATGTTTATATTGTTATTATATAAACGTATATAAATCCATGGCTATAAATTTCTTTTGTTTTWAAAAAAAAAACGGGAAATACCTCCTAATCCAAGCACGCGTATAACGTACTCCCCAAGACACATAATTTACGTTTACCTACATTAAGCAACCTAATTCGTTTTGAAATGGGATTGGAAGACTTTTTTTTTAAACCAAAATCCCGATGTATATAAATTTATAAAAATCGTTTTTATATTACACAACCTAGGAATAACTATTTTTACCGTTCCGTGTTAGTACCTATACGTGGAATTTTGAGACATGTACGTTGCACCAATGTGAATATTTTATAAGCTAAATTATTAATTTTCGTTAAATATTTAACATTGTTATGCAAGTCTTAAAAGGTTAGGTCATATGTTTCAGGTATTACAGCAGGTAGCACGCCGCGAACATAATGCATTTTATACGGCGTGTGGGCGTCTTCCTAGGGCAGACGTGAAAAGACACTCTCATCATTTCCGTAAATGTACTAACCGATATATATTATAATTATTTTCATTATTACGCATTGTTTTTGGTCGTTAGAAGCAGCTGCTATATAATATATTGCAAATCAAATAGAGCAAACTTGCAAATGTTGCACGCATACGGCGGCTTGTGATTTAAGTGGGTTGATTGATGTACGATTCGTAATTATAATATAATATACGAGGAATCTTTTAGCCGTGTTAGATGATAAATGATGAGTATAATCGGTTTTTCACGTTTTCCGATCGGTGCACTCACTGCGCAGTGTCCTCGGAATTGCTCCTCCACGAGACGTAAAGGACGGTTAGAACGGCAGGTACACCCCAGCCGATTGCGTAGAACCAGCGCATCGCATTCACGTCGTTGACGAACACCACTACCAGAGCCATGTGCAAGTGCAGTCCCTCGCAGAACATCCACATGTAGTTGGCCACCATGAAAAACTGCAGAGCCACGTGCAACGACTGGCAATACATCTATAGAAACCATCATAAACGAAAATCAAATACGTATTGTACTGTATCGTGATATCGACTTACATGGTAATAATGTACAATGTACATGCGATAATGTTATTATGATAATATTTTAATTGACGACAATTATTATGGAAGCGATGGGACATAATATATTATTATAGACAGTGCGAGTTAGACTATACAGSGATGCCCGTAGCGACAACTTTTTTTTTCAAGTGTAGAACAGTGTAATAATTTTACTCATTGACACTACCATCACAGTACTACTGAAATCAAGGTTTAATATTTTATTTTTGATATCATATTTAATAAATACTAAAATAAATGCATTACGTTTTAACATACTCTCGGCAATTGTCTGTAGATATTATTCAGATAATATTGAGAGATATCAAATCATAAATATCTACTGTATTTTAATCAACGAATTTTTTTCTTTATAAGCTCGGAAACTATGGCCATTAGCTGTTTGTTGTATTGTTTGTAGGGAAAATGGTTGATTGGGAACACGTAATATATGTGGCAAAGATTTTGTTAGCGAAAACCTCGGATGGTCACCCATACGGAAGCTAGCAACGCCGACTGGTTCACTCCAAGCCAATTTTTAAGGTGGCATTTGTATCATACTACAACTGAACCTGCGTATACCAACGTTGATTCTGCATAATATCAACTTACGTGAATAATATTGACCCGTTGTGGATTTTATAGAACTCTTAAAATTGAATTATTTTCCAATATTTCAATACCTCTGGGTATCTGGGTATACTGAAAACATGCTACGGATTTTTCCGTATTATTCCAATTAATATTCTAAATMTGACAGTGCTCGATAAAAGACGTAATTATATATATATATATTATATAATTAAATCTTTAAAAAAAAAACCATAGTAAGCAACGATTTATAATTTATGCTTTAGATTTGTTTGAATAAAAATGTTATCTGAGGGTTCTGTGAAAATTACCATTGGCGGTGGTATGGCAGTGAATAATGATGTAAGTATTTAAAATATTTTTAATTTTTTAATATGAAAATATACGYTTAATTCTGTTTGAGTACAAATATTTTACTTTATATATAAACTATAATGATTCAAGTATACATCATATTTACTCGGATTTGATATCAAATACAATGTATATTAATACATAARGCATAAGTGAACACGACTCTCCACAGTCTTGTAATTAGTTTTTTGTTTTCATTATATAAAAATGTATTAAAAGTATACAGGTCAGTTTACCTATAGTCATATTACCTATTATTYTTTTGTTATTATTTTATTTTTATTTATTTTTTTTATTTATCCGAAATCTCAGAAACTAGGACCACTAGTTGTTTTCATGGCGAAATGGTTGGTTTGAAGTACGTATTTTATGTACGGCAAGAATTTTGTAGCTGAAAATCCAGGGTTGTCACCCATCAGGGAAGTATCAGTATGAACGCCGGTCGATGCGTACACTCCTATCGCGTACACAATTTAGATATCTGGACACACCAAGTCATTAAATATCTTCATTTATTACTATCGGTAATTATTTTGTTGTTAATTTCTTACCAATAGTTTAAGGTAATAATATATGGGTTATAAACACTTTTTATGTTGTACCAGTATATTTATCAGAATGGATAGTAGGAAAAAACATATGTACGTATTATTGTGATGGGTAGTATTGTCAACTAGAGATTCACAAAAAGAAAAAAAATAGAATATAAAATGTAATGTTGCCTTTAACTGCTTTAAGGCATAGATTAAATACAAAAATAGTTTTATAATAAAGGCACCATTTCAAAGTTCAAATTATTTATAAGTTATTTAATATTTATAATATAGTTGAAAAACATTTAACAACTTACTAGAAAACTTTTGATGTTAGTTGGGCGTTAAAATTGGTTTTTAACATCAACTGGGATTAATTAATATTATATTATATTATACATTTTGTTATTATTATTACTACTATTATTTAATAATAGGTACAGTAATAAGTATGCCAATTATTTAGAGCTAAACTAAACCGTTCTGTTTTTATACCATCTACCGTTCATTCATATTATAATTTTTATGATTAAAATCTTGCTGCTGCTTAACGATAATAATATTGCCATGATATAACGCCCATAATAAATTTAG